CAGTTGTCACTTAACAAAGGCCTTTTGTGTTTGGGCATACGCCATGTTCAACAACAATAATTCTTAAAGTAATAAACATACAGCTGTAAACTTTATGTTGCATTGTAGCTTAACTCAAAATCTGTCGATCTAGTATAAAAATAAGAAGGGTAAACGGGGTTGTTTTTGCAGTAATTTACCATAATTTGCCGATTAGCATATTTTTTTGATATTTATTTGAAGTTAAATTTTTTTCTTCAAAGTTACAAAAGTATGTCAACAAACATTTTGGTAATGTAAACGATAAACAATATTATTGGCCTCCGAATGAGTTAATTTTTATCTCAGTAAGACTAAAACTTTCAGAGATATGACTTTTTTCAAACAAAATGGCTGCCAAATAGAGGGGGAGGGGGATTAGACCTCAGTGTGTAGTGTATTTTTATATTAAAATAGCTGTATTATAAGTACCTAAAATATCGCTAGTCCGTGACCGGACACACTGTATATGTAGAGGCATGGAGTTCTAAAACCGTACAGCTGTAGCAGGTAATGACTCATTGATAAAGGAGGATTAACGTTCAGGAATACGAATACAAAGATTGTTAAAGCTTTTCACTATTTAAAATGTCTATATTTAGCTGTGTTAGTGAAAGCCAACTATTTAATAAATCCAAAGGTACAAAGCGCAAGTCTGATCCTGCAAGAAATACTGCTGTCACATATGAGCTAGTGCTGTAAAATGCCATCTAGAAGTCTTGGATTCAATGGAGAGACGTGCTTAGAGGTTTACTGGTAACTTTTATTTGATTGTATGCACACTTGTCAGCAGAGAACATAGGCCGAAGTAGCTAGCCCCGCGGTATTCTATTGGATACATTTCGTAGAGTGTACGCAAGAATTACATACTTTTTCATTTTATTTCTTCCACCCTTTCCACCATCGAAAAATTAGGCGGTCGGCGAGTCTTTCACCTAACTTAAAACTTTTCGTCTAACTTAAAATCTGCAATCATTTTCATTCCGAAACATGAGAAAGTTTCCACGAGATATTTTGAACTCTCCGTATTATGCGATCTCATAATAAGCGTAGGTCTTGACTACCTGGACGTTACAACTCAGTCACGGGTAACACCGCCGGGCAAAAAGCTAATATTTAATTTACAAGTGGTTGACTGGGAGAGATTGCGAAAAGCTCTCTTCCACTCAATATAAAGAAACTCAACCTATGTCAAAGTGTTTATTTTCATCTTATAATAAATCACTAAGTAAACTATGTACATAAAACGACATTATAATTAATTAATTACTGGACTGAATTTCATATAGGTTAAACCTATATATTTAAAAATGGCTGTCTTCATGTTATTGATAGGGGGAATATTTTACTCTCCTTCAATTGTTTCTAACACTAATAATTGTATTGTGGTAATTAAAAGAACAACAAAAATAAGTAGTTTTATTGGTTATAATTATTAAAATATTGATTGGTGATTTTAAATGTGCTAGATAATCTATATTTTATTTATTTTTTACTTTTTACTTAAATATTTCTTTTTTAAACTTTACTACCGACCATCATCATCATCATCATCATCATTAAAGCTCTTTCAAGTCCACTGCTGAACATAGGCCTACCCCAAGGACAAAAGACGCTACATGCCACAAAACACGGTCCTGAACCAACTGCATCCGTCGACTTCCTGCATGTCTTACCAGGTCGTCACTCCATTTAGTGAGGAGCTGCCCTACATTTTGCCTACCGGTACGAGGCTGCCACTCGAAAACCTTTCTGCCCCATCGATTGTCCGTTCTTCGAGCTATATGGCGGGCATAATGCCACTTCACCTTACTAATCCGTTGGGTGTTGTCTGTTATTCTGGTTTCACTGCGGAGAAAACCCGAGCATAGCCCTATCTACAGCTCGCTGAGAGACCTTGAGCTTCCTCATACGGCAAACGAACTTGGACTTATCTAGTTGGACTATATATCGTAGATAAACATACTCGTAGATAACTTTAAGCGTAGTGTACTCCCAACAACTATCGGCTTATTTGTGATATGGAAGTTACATGACCTTTGTTTTGTCCATCTTCATTGAGCATAGAGCTTAGTTCCTGCAGCAATTAAGGTATAAAGACTATATCGTTGGCAAAAATAAAGTGAGTGATGTACTCGCCGATTATGTTAATACCGTATCCTTTATGGTATAGTAGCTTGAAAAAGTTTCCCAATGCAGCGGTGAAGAGTTTCCGGGATCGAGTTTCCGTAGCCTTACTGTACAATTACATCAGCACTTTGATATACCGACAGTCAACTTGGCACCGCTGAAAGTACCGTAGGACCGCCCAAATTACGACGAAATCAAAGGCTTTCTTATAGTTCACATACACAAGACAAAGTGATCGATGGTACTCCTAGGTCTTCAATCTGCCACTTGCTTTACCGACGATGTAAATTATTATTTTTATAGATAAAATGATTGTTATCCTTAGATTATGTTATAGACTATATGAAAATAATTACTAAGTAAATATATTGTTAGCCTATTTTCACAATTAACTAATTAGGTTTGCCTTAACTGTCACAAGCAACCAATTCTTACAACAATCAAATGATGTATGTTTGCGTAAGTCAAACGATGTACCCGTAGAGTCATTCGTGTTACACAGTACATAAAGCGGGGATTCACTGAGAGCCCACACCACAACAGAAGTCTAGCGATGAAAATGTGAACAAATAATAAAACTTCATTTATTCCAGCTACAACGCTGCGTTTCAAAGTGGTAAGGACTTTATTACCTACCGGATATGTTGTCATACCGACCGAGTGATTTCTTTCCAACAAATTGAAATTTTGATACATTTTTTTGTTTAACTTGTGTTGTTGATACACGTTAGTTAACTTTAATTAATTAAAGATAAAATAATACATTTGAATAAATGTTGTAATAATAAATGTTAAAACCCTCTTAGGCCAGGGGCCCGTTCCAGCTGGGGGCCCATTGCATTTTTCCCCCTGGCACCCTATTGTTACGCCACTAGCCAAAAGGCATTAAGTTTGCCAATGTAAACCTTTTTGTAAGGTAATAGCAACAGAGCATAAATAAGTAAATAATCCCCTACAGAAAGCATGTTTAATCACGTAAAACTTTTTTAAAACACTGTTTATCATGTCCAATGACCTGTAAACATAGCATTGCCTCTAGTAGACGGGATCAGTCGTAAATCATAATTGCCACCGGCAAGAGGATTTATTTTCGCAATTATAGACTTTTCTGAGTGTTTTACATTAGTTACTTGGCTAAATAAATAAATATACAACGAATTGTTTTTTAATGAATTGTTGTTTACTTCGTTAAGTTCTACAATAATTATTTTCAGACAGATGCCTCCAAGGGTTTTAATTGGTTCTATTTTGCAATTAACATCTTTAATGTAAAAGATTTCCACAAACTATTTGTTTATTTGTATATATTCGTTTGTTGTTTATCTATGTTTGCCGATTTTTCGAAAACTGGTGAACCGGTTTCAATGTTTGATTTTTTATTAAATAGAATAATCTTAAAGGATGGTCGCATATACATTTAAAAAAATTCATCCCTAAAGATGAAAAATGGGAGATGATGTTTTCAACTATTTAAAGTTTAGGTGATACTTTAGTTAATTAATGAAATCAAGCATTACTTTTCGGGATTACTTAGCTTATTATCCGCATGAAAAATAAAAAATATGTGTCTAACCCAGTTTGAAGTGAACCTCCTGCCCTTCTTCAAATGCGACACTTTCATTGTCGTTAACACTAATCCCAACACCACTACACTTAGGAAAGGCACATCCGTCATTCGTACGTCACGTATTTCGCCTCTAAAGGAAGCACCATCAGGAGGAGTAGGCCTTGCGATGATTGTCATGGATTTTAACACATTTTACATTTTAGTTTTTACCTTGACCTTATGACATTCCTTAGTCCAGTTAAAAGGTTAAAATAATTAAAGTTTAAATAGTAAACGTCAAAACAAAAAAGATAAAATAATTTCCACATAATTTTAGAGGTTCATCGATAAGCTATATCTTAGCACCGACTTCAGAAGCTATTAAATGAAATATATAAATTACGTGTCATGTTGTTTGTCCGCGATGGAATCCTAAACTACTTAACCGATTTTAATCAAATTTGCACACCGTGTGTAGTTTGGTCCAACTTGAGAGATAGGATAGTTTTTTGCCCGTGAGTGACCCACATTTTTTTTTTGCGAATTTAAGGATTTTTAATAGGACATGTGACACAGGGTCGTCGAAAAGGGCAGTACAACGTCTGCCTTGTAAGCTAGTGTATATATATATATATTTGAAATCGATTTTTACTTTATTGAATTTGCTTTTGTATATACACACATTAATATGCTGAGGAATTTTGTTATATATTTTGACACACATATATAGACAGCTTTTATTATACTTGGATAGTCTAGGAAGTGTGTCGATTACAAGTTTTTCGGGGTATCTATGGCTTCGAGAAGATATAACTTTTGCTTTAGTAAACAGATGGTAGTGTTGTTTAACGAACAAACAAATTTCATATATGTAGAGCGAGGGCAATGTCAATAACAAAGGTTTTTGAATAAAGATTTACATGAATCAAATGGCGCTTTAAGAGTCAATGCTCTTAGACATTTTTTTTGAGTGATAAAGGCTTTATTTAATTGAGAATCATTTCCCCAGATAATTAACTTGTAACGCAGAATTGAAACTACATAAGCATGATAAACCGAGAGGGCTATATTTATGTTAGTGACTTTTCTAATATACTTTAAAGCATATACAAATTTGTTTAGTCTATCTTTTCGATTTCTATTCTATTCTTGACGATTCATGTCGCAAATCAGTGCTATTTTCGTAACTGCCGTCTGGTACGTAACGTACCACACTGGAAATGGTATTATGTTTAATTCGCAAAGATTTCTTACTTAATCGTTCAATTGTATCACGTAAAAACAATAAAAACTTTTTTTCTTGTAGTTCTCGGACAATCACCCGAAGGAGATCGAAGAGCTATGGTCGACGCTGTGTGCCTGTTGGCCCAACAACTTAAAGGTTATCATCCGTTACCTCATCATCGTCTCAGGAATGGCACCTAATGAACTGTTACCATATGTAAGCATTTTCAAACTACTTTTTTGTCTACACTTTTCACATTAGGGTTTTATTGGGCTACATCTTAGTAATTTCTTAGTAACACCTATTTGTAAATCGAAATAATATGTGTTACCTATTTATTTATGAAAAATAAATATATTTTAAGTTTGAGGTAACGCGGTAATCAAAATCGACATAAGTACATACTTTATTTAAATAAAAAAATGTCAACTTATAAAAAAATAAAATTCTTACTATATTTTATTTTATTAATTAACTAATTGGTTTTCAAGCTATTCTGCATAAAGTTAGTGTCCACATAAGCTTGTGGACTATACAAAAAACTAAAAACACAAAAATAGCATGTAGTAAAACTTACTTCCAATTATTGTCCCCTGGTGGAAATTGATTAAAATGAGGGATGTACGGTAACAAAACAAAACTACTACATTTTTCTTACGATGTGAAACTTCTACAGGCTAAACGAGTTGTGCTGTATCTGGCCCGCTCGCGTCCTGAACGTCTCCTTGACGAGATGATGACGGAACTGCAGACCGTCGAAACGCTTAACTGTCTCATCGAGCGTACAGAAACGCCTCCTTTCTATCGTCTGACATCTATGAGGAAGGCCACTTCGGGACATAGCGATGGACCTGGTACTGGTCCGCAGGTAACGAACGGTCTTTGAAGTATGATTGTATTTCCGTTTCCGTACTGAACTTACAATCTTTTGGACGTCACACACATTCTTTTTATTTTTTCTATTTTTTTCTATTTTTTAGCCCTCGGATAAAAATTATTTATAGGTTAAAATACAAAATTTGCAAATTAAAGACGACACTTGTATGAATAAAATAGTTCAATTGTTTGACTTTTATATTCAGTCCGGTTATACATTGCCATTAGAAGCCTTGTCAAATATATAAATAAAGTTAACATAATCCGCGACATTACATAAAGTATTTTTAAATAAATCTCATGTTTAAACTTGTCTGTTTCAATAAAGAAGTCATGTGGAAAATATGCAAATTGTGTGCAAACTAAATACAAAATATAATGTATGGTGTTTGACAACAAATGTCAAATTCGCGCAGACTGTTGCTTACTAAGTGTGACAACTATAATGTAGTGGACTTTTGAGAGGTTCTAATAAGTAATACAAGAAACCATTTATTCAGAATTCTCAATGACATGAAACTAGTTCCGTTTCGGCTACCGTACAAGTCTTCCCGATTCCTCTCCCCAAACTGAAAGTACCACTCAGTTTAGTATATATTTCGAGCCCTCGCGTTATTAACTAAACATTCGCGATGATGTAAGATTCGCGACGGTTTTTGAAGTCGGGTGTGAGTTTTGTTTCATCACGATGTGGTTTTGAATATTGTTATTTTTACGTCACTAGGCTTCATAGAATAACAAAATTGTGCCTAAATTATTACCGTTTAATATTTATTTACACAACATTGAAATATTTACAGTATCCAAAAAAATACGGCAGTTAATATATTGAAATTATCATACAGTCATTATAGTGCAAAAAAACGCTGGCTGCATTTCCTCGCTGAATGTCTATACTCAGCATTTTCCTTGTACAAATAAAAATATGTGTGCAGATGTAGTGGAGTCACACGCGGTAGAAGTGAAACCTTCCCAGAAGGAGACCGAGATATTAGGAAACACTATACTGTAATCTATCTCATTCTTTTTTTTCCACGCAGGTTAAGATGTATAGTTTGTTAAACTATAAAACTGTCACTGATTTTGGTAGTCTGAGACTAATGTGATTATAACATTTATAACATGTTACAATTTTATAGGATAGGAATCTATTGTAACTACAAAGTTAAATTGTAAAAGTTATTACGACGATTGTGATAAAACGATTAATAATTTATAAAACAGAATAATTTTTCTTGAATATAGATTTCTAGATTACTTAATATTCAAACTTTACCACTGGTTCAGAAAAAAAATCTTTATCATGGGAAAAACCAGCAAGAAACCTAACGGGACTTTTTTCGAACATTAATTTTCGATATTATTAACTAAATATGAAAACATTTAGAAACCGCATAGTAGCGGTCACATAATTATTATAAATCATGTACTCTATAGTACTATATTAAAGAATTTTTGATTAAAAATTTAAATTTCCGATATAGGTATTCCATATTTTCTGGGATTTTGTTGTAAAAGCGTATAACTATCCGAACAGTTAAGTAGTGGGATTGAAAATTGCGCCTCCTCTATTCACCTCTCGCTCCACACTGTCGCTATGTATACTCACATCCGCCTGTAAAGACTACAAAGAAAATATGTTGCGGTATGCGTTTTTCGTATACGTCTTATAATTTCAGCACGACTTGTCACTGGCATCAATGATAACAAAATGCCATAAACAAAAAAAATTGGTGTTGATTCGTTAATTTGTGAGATAAACGCGTTCTACGACTTTTCTTAGTAATTATGGTTGATTTTGTTTGTTAATATTTTTGTATAAAATATTTACATGCCATTAAGGAATGAGTAAACATTTTTTTTAATTTAGTTTCCCTGTCTGTCTGGACGAATTTATTTCCGGAATTTATGAATGTTATTTTAAAATTAATATACCTACTTGCGTATACAATTCTATTCAAATGTTTTCCATTAATAGAAAATATCTAATTAACTGAATAACATGTTATTAGTGGGTTTTGCTATTGGCACTGTGCTTGTGACGGTACGGGCTCTCGAACTGCCCTCAAGTCGAATAAGTGGTGGAACTTGCTTGTGCAAAAGTCCTATGTTCGATGCCATAGCATTATCTACTCTCTTCAAAATTTTTAACCAAATCCGTTCTGCTCTTTGTGTGGTTGTACGTCAAAAACGCAAGCATAAAACTGATACACCTGTGTAATTTTTTTGTCAAGAAATTCCATTCATATTGTTTCCAATGCCCGCAAAACTAAGTTAATGTTTAAATACTGGTATTTTTACATTTGTTATTTTTAGTTGTCGTATTTTTTTATACTGTAAATATGTCAATGTTATGTAAATAAATATTAAACCCTAAAAATTTAAGTACAATATTGTTCTTCATTAACCAGTATGAAGCCTAGTCACGTAAAAATAACAATATTCAAAACAATGATCGTGACGAAACAGAACTCACCCCCGATTTCAAATACCGTCGCGAATCTTACATCTTCGCGAATGTTTAGTTTTATAACTTATTACATATTGTTTTGCTCTAAATCACTATTAATCACAAGAGATAAATGTTATTCTTTCACTAAGGACGCAACTGGAAGGACCGGTGAACTAGCTCCTGTTGAAAAAGGGACGATTCATACGAAGAGGCACAGTGGCGAGGACCCAGCGAAATCTTGGTGAGTGACATAACATTATGTGATGATAGTATTATTTCATTTCACTTGACTCGCAACCATCTCCATAAAGTTTTATTGATAAAATATTATCTATTCAGTTTTATCGATAAATATAAATAAGCTTCTAAATTGAACTCTCGGCTTTGCTGTCGGAAGATGACTTGTATTAAATTTCTATATAATATGTGTTCTTCTATGTATTTACTTTTATTCTATATTATATAAGTTATATATCTTCTTTTATTACTGGTGATAGGATTTCTTTTTTGTCTAAGAGTACATCTGAATATGCATCTTTTTTGTATAGAAGAAGGGGAAAACGAGCGTACGGCTCACCTGATGTATTATTTCTTACCTATATCTAGTACCAAATAACAGTGCTTGCAGTGCTTGCTTCTGGTCTGTAGGGTATACAAGGCCGTAGTAGAGAGGGTCATTATAATTAAAGACTGTAAGACATTCCACCTAAGCCTCACAGGTGACAGTTCATATATAGCCTTCTTAATTTGAAGTTACAAGTTTCTAACAAATTTATACGTTTTATAAAAATTACTTCTCCTAAGGAAGACCCTTTAGAATGCTCTATTTTACCATAGTTTCGCGCCACTGAAAAGGTTTCACTTCGCCGGTCTCAATATTCTTTTTATAGAATAAGGGTGACAAAAGAGGACACAGTTCACCTGATGGTAAGTGGATGCTGTGGCACATAGACACTTACATTTATCCCCGATTAAGCATGCATAATGCAGATGCGTTGGCACCTTGAGGACTAAGATGAAATTGCTCGTTTCCAGTAAAAAAGAATCTCAGGATCTCTATACTCACCATACGAAACACAGCAGTATTAAGCTACTATTTTACGCTGGCATTCTGTGAGAGCGTGGCCATTCCCCGGCCGACCCATTCGTGCTACAACCATAATATAGCTGCAGCGTGGCTCTACCATGTATATTTTACACCTGACGTAAACGAGATGGTTATATCGCCGTCTATCGGAAACCAGAATTTCTTTCTAGAATTTATCACAGTCGCCTTTTATATATTGAATAAGGCTGACAAATGAACACATAGTCCACCTGTTGGCAAGTAGTGGATGCTGAGGCCTATAGACTTCTACATCTGACTTCGATTAAGAATCAAAATGCAGATACGTCATCACTTCTAAAAACTACGGTAGAATGCTTCCTTAACATTAAAAATGGTCTCCCTCGTTTCCAGTAACAAAATGATTCCCGCAAGCCACAACCGCACATCTTAAATTAATAAAGACTATCACTTAAATGGTTAATTTAATATTGAGGTTTTGGTTGGGACTAATAATAAATAATATATCCGTCAAATATAACAAGCGAAATTATTCGCCACTTGTTGTTGTCAATACACAACCTTGATCAGCACATAATGTCACATAAGGTGCCCTATTGATGTCAGTATATTTAAACGTATATTTATGTAGTACGATATTTAATAAATATTTATAATATATTTAAAATTAATTTTCTTCTGCCAATAAACTATGTTTTCACAGCAACTAACCTTGCGCAAGTTCCGATTCGAAACGCATTCAATTATAGTTGAGACCGTTGTTTACTTATAATTATAGTATAAGTAAACAACGGTCTCTTCTTTTTATTTAATATTTTTTTTATTACAGCCCGTTTTAATTTGTTAGCCGGTCCGTGGCGTTTGTATGCAAACCATTAAAGTTATACATTTTTAACCAATTTAATATAACGTTCTTTGCTTGTTCTTGTGGAACCTATTTGAATGATTATATTTTTATTAAATAGCTTATATACTTCAAGGATAATGTTATGTAACAGCATTTGTAGAAAAAAATCCTCTTTTAAGGGGGAAAAAGCTTATTATACTATTTAGACGAACCACATTCGCGTTGTTTCCTTGATCTGGTGATATTCGGTAGGTCGATATTCGGAAACAATCTAGTGTTTAACTCAAACTTCACAATGTCCAAACTTTATAATAATGTGATGTTAACTAGTAGTAGTAGTAGTAAACAGCGATTGACGAAAATTTTTAACACATATTTTAATTGTTATATCTACTTTGTTAAGATTTTCCTTGAATCGTGCCAAATCTGTTTGAACAATTTTCTTGATATTGAAATAAACGTATACAAATCGCGTATTGTTGTGCCCTTTTAGTCTCTTTGTCTGATGTCACACAGCCACAGCCCATACTACGCCTATCGAGAAAGATAAAAATTAAAAACAAATACAAGACACAAAAAAAATTTAAAGTCGGGGCATTCATTCTTCGATGCACCCTATCTATTAAAAAAAATGTTTTATTGATAGTCACTGGGTTAAACTATGGTTTAAAGTAAAAGTTAAAAAAGTAAAAAGTCTTTCTAAGTTAAGAAGTCCCCTAAACGCGCACCACAGTCTTCGCGAAATTTGACCTTTATTGCAAATTACATACCTACTTTAGATTTTAGTTTACATATTTCCTCGGGACTTCGTTTGTGAAACATTGTAGATTAAACTACCTTTTGCCATAAGGCGATTAATGTCTTAACGACTTCGAAGACGGAAAGCTGGTTGTTTTCTACTCCTACAACGACTTCGGAAGCTGAGAGCTGGTTGTTTTCTACTCCTAATACTAAGTAAGGTTTTATATTAGATGTTTATTTTATAAATAATTTACTATACCTCGAGGAGTAGGCTTTTTAGATAGGTGTAGTTTTTATATTTAAAATTTTCTTGTAAAACTAACTAAATTAGTTTTAATTTTATAAGTTTTATTCATAAAAGGCAACAAAATTTCAAAACAGAGATATTCTGCATTTCGAAATCCCAATCCTCACATTTTTTCTTCTCTTCCTTCATTTGGCGCACTTTGCCTGCAGGCAGGCAAACCTTTTATATTTAAGCACGTGCTTAAACGCTTAACACGTCGGCGGTGTGTAATAATAATGCAGTAGTATTCGAAGAGTTAATGGGTTTACGAGAAGCACGTGTAAACTTATTTGTATGTATGGATGCACGGACCTTAATATTTTAGCTCCGTGTATAGACGGTGCAAAAGTCATTAGGTGTCTCACTCGATTATTGCTGGCGAAATTGCCAATATGGCGGATGATTGGATAAACGAACTATTCAATGCTAGCTAGCCTTTGAATTTTAGACAGCGTACGTTCCATCACTGTGTATCTGCTTCAAATAATTCTTCAATAAGAGCTAAAGTTATGCATATATATGATATGTATTATTTTGAAGTTATAGCAGTTACAGTAGAGGGCTCGGTAATACAATAGTTAAGTGTTTGTTTGGAGCGTTGGTGAAACCTTGGATTCGAAAAAAAAAGACAAGTTAAGTATGTGACGCAACGCACTACAGAGTAACTATCGTTTCGGTGTCAATAAAGTCCGAAAAAACGAATAGTCCTACAGTTTTATTAAATAGGAATAAGCGTGATAAACAAGCACTTAATCTACCTGATGGTAAGTGGATGCTGTCGTTCATAGACACCTACATTTTATCCTCAATTAAGCATCGAAATGAGGGCTAAGATGGAATGCCCTGTATGCAGTAAAAAGAGTCACCGGTTCTCTACACTCACCATACAAAAAAGCAACCTAAACTTCTATTTTGCGTGATGTGTGGTGTTTTGTGAGAGTTTTGTCCTTCCCCGGTCGAGCCGATCCATTTGTGCTACAACCATAATAGAGCTCCAGCATAGCTCTACAACGTCTAATTTCCGACGCACATCACTGTCGCTGCTTCCGATCTTCAGTCTGGATTATCATGAAAAAATTCATCATAAGTACCATCTGGACTTTCCCACAATCGTATCTTGCGACACTGAAGTAGCTAAAAGGGATTCACTAACGCCGTCATCACGTGTCAAACATTCATAACTGTCAGTGATTTCGTACGGAACAGAGACGTAGAGAGGACTACATACAGTCCTTGTATGTAAACCGTTTAAGTTTAAGTTTCTCTGTGAAACTAATGACCAAAATATAGATGCGTTGTCACCCCTGCGAACTAATATAATCAGGGGGTGGCCCCTCGTTATATGAAGTGACGATCGGTTAAGATACTCAGGAATATTCAAAAGTTTTATTGATTAGGCATTTGTTACACTAGATCACACCACTTATCTTCAAGTTGTATAGTTGTCAAACCCGGACTTATAATTGTTAGAAATAAGAAGATAGTGATTAGTCTAACGAGCTGTGATATTCAGTGTATAAAGTACGGAATACAAAAACAAAGGTGCTAATCGCTTACTCGCCTTTTAAAAGTGCATATTACATTGCATCATATAAAAGTACATATAAAAATCTTCGTAACTCAAATTTTAATAAACGTTGCCAAATTACCTCTAAACAATAACAATATAAGAAAAAACCATTAAATTAAAATGTCAGACGTGTATATATAATTGTGACTACCGCAGTATCCGCCTTTGTCATGTATCTGATTTGTTTGTGTAGTGCACCCGCTTTAGTTTACTATTAACGCCTTTTGACTTCGTGCAAGCTAGTTAGTGATTGTAACGAGCAATCTGTTTCCCTTATACTCATATAACATTAAATACAAATGTTGTCGATTTAAAGTAAATGGAACGTCTTTTTATGTACATACATACTAGCTGGCTAGACAGACGTTGTTCTGCCCTTTCTGATTGGCGGCGTGATGAGTGATATTTTCACTCTCACACATTTTTCTATCGACTTATGATACGTATAGCTAAATCCTTTATGTCTAATAGAACCATCAGCAACCATTATGACAGTAAACTTTAAAAAAGGAAAACATTAACCTTCTTTTTTAATTGTCCGTAAGCGGATAAAATGCCTATATGCACAATTATTTACTCTCTGCACACCAACTTTCATGGAAATCTGTCCAGTGGTTTTTGCGTGAATCATGAAGACACAATTTTTCTACAGATTTATTACATGTATAGATAATAATAATGTCCTCCAGAATTAATTTCGATCATAGCGGCTCGTCCACAGAAATCTAAAT